CCTCAGTCCTGTAAGGCACTCAGCACTCCCAGGAAGTCCCAGTGCTCTCAAATCCAAGTCAGCTTTGAAAGTTTTCATCATCACCAAGGAAAGATGCTACCCTCTCAAATGGAGACTAATTGGACAAAATTTCTCGAGGAATCTTTGTAAATATTTAAGACCAAGTATAGTTTTGTAATTCTCTTCACATGGAAGGTAAAATTACTTGCTAATAAGGCCTACCACTTTGCTTTGTATTGTGGTCTTGGTTGAGTTCTCTGGTGTACTGTTACATTTCTGGGGATTTCAATGTTCATGGATATAATTACATTTATATAGTGAGACTAGTGAGACCCCAGTAATTGTTCACTACAGCTTCTATAATTTCAAGTCATCAACCCAATCACTGTATGCAGATGAGACATGGCACTGATAGATACATACACTGTGTGGTTTTGGGCTTCAGCCATGGGATCAGATCTTAAATTTGTTCTCTGTTTCACCATATGTTTTAGATGACCTGATGCAAAGTATTGTCATTTCTTATCTAAACACCATATTCATGATATAATGAAATGTATTTTATTGACAGACCTAAATAGAAAATATGGAGAGCAGAGGAGAAAGATATACAGAGAGATTATTTTTAATTCTAAAAGAGGGAGATGAGAACCTCCCTCGACCTGCTGGCCATGCTCTTTTTAGTGCACCCCAGGATACTGTTGGCCTTCCTGTCCACAAGGGCACACTGCTGGCTCATGGCCAGCCTGCTGTCCATCAAGACACCCAGGTCCTTTTCCTCAGAGCTCCTCTCCAGCAGGTCAGCCCCTAACCTGTACTGATGCATGCAGTTATTCCTCCCCAGGTGAAGGACTCTACACCTGCTCTTGTTGAATCTCATCAAGTTCCTTTCCACCCAGCTCTCCATCATGTCCAGGTCTCGTTGAATGGCAAAATAAATTGAAAAATAGATTCCACATACCAATTAAAACTGGTTTTGCTAGGATAGAATTAATTTTCTTCCCAGTAGCTAGAAAGCACTGTGTTTTAGTTTCAGTGGGGGATTTGTTATGAGAAAAATGTTGATAAGGTACTAAAGTTATTAGTTGCTGCTGGAGCCCAAGGTCACCATGTTTGACTAGTTCACAAGTGCATTAGGACTGGGAGGGAGAAGCGTAGTAAATAGCAAAACCCAAAATTGGCATTTCAATATGCCAATGAGATATTCCATATCATATCATGTCATGTCAGTATATTAACCAGGGTTGACCAAGTTGACAAGTCATATTTTCAGACAGCATCAGATTTTCTTTAATAAAAGTTTAATGTAAAAAATAGGCCATTAAAACACTGTATCATAAGACCTCATGGGTATACTTCAAACTCTGATAAAGTACCAGCATTAGATACAAATTGTCATACTACATAATTTGAAAGCTTCCGATTCAGACAAAAGAGCAAAACAGAAGTATTAACATTTCCCAGCATTAGTATTTCTTGGTTAAGAAGGTGTTCTTTAATAGCTATCCTTTGAAAAACATGTAAAAATATCTTTTACATGTAAAAATGCTTTTTAATGCTGGTGTGTGAAAGCAGCATATAATGCTGTGTTTGAATGGCACACTAAATGCGAAGAACTTTCTCTCAGTACTGGTGTAACCTTAATAGTTGTTCATGTCAGCATCAAGGAAGACGGTCATTAAGATGACTGAAATATGAAAGACCATTATAGTCTTTTGAAGAATTAGGTAATGCAAGGGTGCAAATTTTGATTTAATTTCAATTTGCTCAGTAGTACTTGTGTAATATTTATTTTTAGGTCTTCTTAGATTCAGAGATCTCTTTAGGAGGTCCAGTCCGTAGGGGTCTCATGGTAGTGGCATGAATAGAGAGGAAAAGGGAAGAGAACTCCTTGCTAGTTATACCTTGGTATAGCTACATCAGAGAGTACACAGGAGTAGTAACTTAGCTTTACTCAAAGTTAGGAGATTCTGCCTTCCTTGATTTCCTAGTCACCAACAATAAACTTGTACAGAGTTAAAAATGCTGCTGGAAAAAAAAAATTAATTCAAATAGGTTTTCATTTTTTGATAAATTACTTAGAGGTCATTGAGATTAACCTAGCCTAATAATCTATGGAAAGCTATAAAAATGAGAAGGGTATGAATGTTCTTAAGTCACTTCCTGCCTGTGTTCTTTGAGAAAACAGAACATGCTTTGCCTTTCATTATTTTAGTCACCTTCCACTGTTACAATCAGATAACTCAGATTTTGGCTTTCTGATTCAAATTTGAAATCTATTTGGATTAGAAGATCTGAAAGTCAAAAGTTCTGAATTCCTTCCTTTATTTTTGACCAGCTACAATAATGTCTATAACAGAATTATCCTGGTTCCATTGTAATCTTGTTTACATTTTCACGTAAATTTCATATCTTGGCTGCTTGAAAACACTTTATACAATGAGAAATTTTAAAATTTCTTCAATCTCTACTCATAATAAAGATATTCAGGCCTCTTGACGTACAAGAAGCTGACACGTTGCTAGATTTGCTACAGCTTCCTTGACTTAAAGATGCAGGAGTGATCATCCATTCATCTGTCAAGGCTGTGTGCCTAACATTGGACTGAGCCAAGCAAGATATTGGCAAAATAATATTTTTTCATGTTATGTAGTATTTCCTAGAAATAAATCATTTTAACATTGTATTTCAATGAGTGGTAGCATCTTCCATAATTTTACAAAAGACGTTCTATGGATGAGATAAATGTTTATTTTAAAGTCCCCAAGTAATTTGGGACTATATTTATAGTTTGAACCTTATTAAATGCATATGAAATTCTCTTAACATGAAAAGTGCTATGCAAGAGATAATCTTGTTAGTACAAGCTTTACTTCTTCTGTGACAAAAGCAGCAGTGACAAAATAGTATTTAGTACTGAATATAACTACATAATTTAAATATACAGTTCATATGAGACACACTGTCATGAAACTTAGGAAAGTACCTTTCTGAAAAGCTAATTTTAATTAAGCTTTGCACCCATCAAGCTTTCATATCTACCTTTTACATAGATATATTCAGTACCCATATGCCTTACAACCATTGGGTTTTGCCCCACCATGTATAAAATTCATGATAAGCCATCTGTTATGAATATCACCATGTATACAATTCATGGTGATATTCATAACAGATGGCCTTTTATTTATTATTTCTGTTATGATTTATTAATATGCTTCTTTTCTATGTTTCTAGTTCTTTGGTTTTTACTGTATGTATTTGCATTCTTTAATAAATTTACATTGAAAATACCTCAAAATGAAATTTATGAATATGCATGTCTTAATATGGGTCTCTCAGAGTCACTCGAAACAGTACATTATAAGAAATAGATGAACAGCCTCTACCATCACCTCAGCATGGTACTTAATGGCTGCTTGAAGGTACCATAGAATCTTTTGGATGGGTCAATCATTTCTTTCTTCATAGTTCAAAGGAGAAGAGTGGTCGTAAACCCTGGTGTTCTCACAACATTTTCAGAGTAGAACTTCACTGAATGATAAGTGCCACTTAAGATTACTAAGGATAGGATCTAAGGTTTCTACACTTGCAGTTGGAAAGTCAGACAGAAAGGAGTGTGCTGACCCTTATAATCTTATAAGATTATGTTTGAAGAGCATGAAATTCCTCAGTCTTGAACAAGTTGAAATCTCAAGTCCCAAACTACTTACTGCTGAAAAACAAGCAAATAAAAGGAGACAATCTTGCTGACAAGGCATTTCTCCGTCCAGTCATCATTTCATTTCAATATCATTATTCATTTTAATTACCTTTTGAAAGGTCTGATTTTCTAAACAGCATTGTTTCTAATTAGCAGGGGATAAGGAATAAGTGGAAGTAACTAGTGGAAAATGGTATAAGATTTCTTGAATGTGTCTTTAGCCCAAATAGGTAGAAACTGAAGGTTGTCACCATTTGATGTCTGTTCATTGGTCTGTGTAAAATGAAGTAGTGATCTGAGTCCCATAGGATTTGGAGTGCACTTGCAGCTCAGAAGGCAATAATTAACATCATTGCTGACAGTCTCTATAACTACACCAAGCACTGAATAGAAACGAAAACATCATTTGCCTTCTTATCCTTAAAGGTTTTGTTCCATCATGTCAGGGTTCAATCAGACTGGAGGAGCAGCCAGAGGAAATTTATTTTATCTGGTGCCCACACTATGCTTGTTCTTTGCAACAAAGCAAACATTTCAGCTTCTAGAGCCAGCAAATCAAGCAGTGCATACAAACATAATCCCTTCCAAATAAAATTGAAATCCAACTTTGATAACACCAACAGATAAAAAATCCACACTTGTAAAGGAATTATAGCAAGCTTTAGGCATTTACAAAAATAGAGGTGAAGCAAAAGGCAACACTTTTGTGGTACCCTTTTTTGTCACACATTTAGCTGTACTAGAACTATAGCCTCAGTGAAATTTGTCCCTGCAGGAAAGTTTTCCACACCACAAAACTCAAAGTGGAGATAGCTATCAAGGACCCTCAGAGATTTTTCTCTAACTTTTTTATTTCTCATTAACTAAATATTTTCTAATGAGTGTAGACTCTGGTAGTGAATTTAAGCTGATTATATTATTTGGGAGAAAAACACTGCATCACTGCAAGAAAAGTCATTCACTGGCCAGGAACAGGTTGGCAAGGTTACCATGTGGTAGATAAATGAATTTGATTACATGCTTAATTATGCAGATTTTATGGACCAGATATGCCACTTAATGGTTGCCACAGGGAACAAGAATCAACCTCCTGTGTAAAATTGTCAATGAATTTATTTGATCTGGCAAAGATAATGAATTTTAAAGAACTTCAGTTTGCCAAAAAAACCCATGTAATTTAAGCTTAATCCTCAACACTTCAATGAAGTACTTTTTAAGTTTCTGTGTATTTGCTAAGTTTACTGAAAGTACGAAGATACACTGCCTGATGATTGACATGGTATATTTCTTATTCTAGGTTCTATCCTTAGGGGCTGATGTTCTACCAGAATATAAACTCCAGACACCTCGCATCAACAAGTTTACTATATTGCACTATAGTCCTTTCAAAGCTGTCTGGGACTGGCTCATTTTGTTGCTGGTAATATACACTGCCATATTCACCCCTTACTCTGCTGCATTCCTTCTGAATGATAGTGAGGAACGGAAGAGGAGAGAGTGTGGATATTCTTGCAGCCCACTGAATGTTGTAGACTTAATTGTGGATATTATGTTTATCATTGACATTCTAATAAACTTCAGAACAACATATGTAAACCAGAATGAAGAAGTGGTAAGTGATCCAGCAAAAATAGCAATTCACTACTTCAAAGGCTGGTTCCTAATTGACATGGTTGCTGCAATACCTTTTGACCTGCTGATTTTTGGCTCTGGCTCTGAAGAGGTAAGCTTAAATTAATAAGAAATCTGAAATCCTAAGTTTTGACTTTACTACAATAATCTGTATATCCTGATATATTTTTTGCTTGTCAGTCAATAGACTCTTTAGGAGTTCCAGCCCATCTCTTTAAGTTAAACTAAAATTAAATCTTCCTTAGTTGAATAATGTAGAATATTAGCTTTCATTGACAGAACAAGTTGAATGATACAGCTAGTATTTTTCAATTATACCATATTTGATGCTATCTTTACAAATAATGAAATAAATATATAATGTATGAAGGATTTATTCAAATACTTTTATTTAAGAACTGTTCCTTTCATTTGCTGCTTGCTTTGTAAAATCTGTTCATAATGCATAAATGTTGTGTTGTCATTAAAACATTGTAAATGTTCTCTGTTCAAAGTCTTTAGATCAGATGTTTACTCAGTGTAAAACAGACTAGTTGTAGTTTAAACTATACCAGTTAACAAAAAATTTGTCTGTTTTCTATGTTATCAAGAATATGGACTACCAAAAGAAAAAAAAAGATTCTGTGGGTTTAACTTTGCCAGACATTCCTAAAGTCCTCACCCTGTCTGTGCAATAGGTTTAAAAAGTGTTCAATACGTGCACCCAAAAAAACCCAGCAAACCAAACAAAATATGACCCATTCACTTTTCAAAGGACATAAATCCATTTCTTAAAATTACCAGTTTGCATGTATTGACATAAGGGAAATGGACAGTTTTGTCAACTATGTGTGCATCTCATTAACTGAGAAGAGGAAGGTGAAAACTACAAATTAATCAGCAACTTTTAACATTAATTTTGCTGATCTGACTGTATGCCTCCATGTCACAATAGAGGATGCTAAAACATTGTCATTTTAAAATTTATTCCTTTTTATTAAATTCATTTGCTATGACAGCAAATATTTTTATGTCCACCCCAAAAGCCTGATCTGAATTCTGATCATACCCTAGCTATCCTCTCAAATTACATGTAAACTTAATTAAGTAAGCCTTTAAGGGTCAGTGTAAAACAACTGGCACATACATGCATCTTGAAAGTCTCATGAGTATATTCAGTCTTAAAAATTTCAGAAGTAGGATGAATATCAGTTATGCTTTTCTTAAATTCATTTTCTTAAATTTTATATAATGAAAATGTTTTCCTGTCTTCTGTACTTCTGAAAAACTATTACAATAATGTGGTCTAATTCAGCAGTAATAGAAATCAATAGTAACATTCCTAATCAATAGTGATATTCCTACTAATTTGAACATGAGCATAAACACTCAAGGTAAATGAGGAATCTGCAGAAACATGTAGCAATAGCATGCAGTAGAAATAAATCTTGTAATAAGAGAGAGTGTAACGTAAAGGACAGAGGGAACATGTTAACAGTCCTCTTACTGAAAAAGAACTTTTTTATTCAGAAGATGACTAAAAAGCTCAGATATACAAAAGAAACTTTGCCTACCTTTTGCATTTATTATCTGTGGTAGGTCTCTAGTCTTTCTGCAATTTTTTTTCTGTGGTTTTAATAGCACAGACGTATGAAAGACAAACATTTTGACAATGGCATTACTTCTAACTTGGACCACATCATTCCCCTTCAGGTATGTGCTTCCCTTTCTGATCACTGATCACTCAACACTGCCAAAAATTATGTTCAGTGATTGGAAATGTGGAACATCAAGTATTACAACAGGGACCAATCCCAAAGTTCAGTGAAGGAGTGTTCTTTGGATTTGACCCTGAACATCATTCTTCCACTCCTCCCCTGTTAGAAATGTCCTTCAGAGTAAAGTGCCAGGTGCTAAAGCGATACCAAAGGGATAACTTTAACACAAGATAATGTTATAGATTACTAGCAAACAAGTGCATTCTGGCAGGTGAGTACACAAGTGCAAAAACTTGGAACAGACATTATTGGACTATGCAATCACTTTTTCAGTATTGCAGATATAAGTAATACTTTATTCCCTCAAAACCTAGTGACTGAACAATTTCGTTACCTGGTAAAACTGGTTTGTTTACCTAAGCAGCAATGAAACTACACAGATTATGACCAGTTCATCATGCCATTGTGACTTCTTTCTCTCATTCATGGTATCGAATATGTCAATCACTTTTTCTAAGCAGCTATTTACTGTAGTTCTGCTTCCTACATTGCTAACTGTAATATTTCCCAAATGATCCCTTTTGATAGTTTAGCAAGAGGAAGCAAATGTAAAACTGTTGGAATGAAGTATTTTTCATTTAATAGATTTTTTTTCAGTCATAAGGGTTATCTTTTTTTATTAAATAGCTCTTTTTTTGATATCTAGAGATTCTTCAAATAAGATCCCCTACAAACAATTGTATTGAACAGCCTTTTTATTAAACAACATAAGCTCAAATGAGAGCTCCATATGTGCTTATCCACTTTTAAAACACTTTGATATCAAACCAAGTCTAGAAAGGACAGGAGATAATAATTCGAATAACGCATGCAGCACTATTTGAATGCTTCAATTTGAGCCATACTTTGTTAGCCACAGGAAAGCAACAGAGTAAAACAGTTAACTTTCCAATTTCTAAAATATGGAACTAATGTTTTTGGGGTTTTTTTTAATTCTGTTTAAGTAGACTCAACACAGAATGATTATGTCTGATAGTAAACCATTCTCCCTTTTGTGTGTATTTTAAATGTTAAGTGACATCCCTGATACTTGGACAGATGAAAATGATTAGTAGACAGACTTTTTAATTTCTGTTCTTTGGGTAGTTTATTTTTAATCATTCTGATCAGCTGGGGAGTCTGGATTTGATTTTAAACAAATAATAGTTGCAGTGGCGAAGCTCCTTAAAGCACAAACATAGATGATGTGCATATACAAGTGAAATGCTGATTAAGATTAATAGCTATTTTTAGTTATATCCATTTAAAATAATGCCCTTTTTAATGTGTTGATCAGCTTTTCACTTCAAAGACAGCTACATTGTAGGAAAAAATCAGATGGATATATAGATAACCAGAGTTTCTTCCCTTTCATCTAGAACCTACTGCAATAAAATATACAGACAAGTGATGGTAACAACTTCAGCAAGAAAAAATTCGTATTTATAGTTTTATTAAATTGAGGCCAGAGACAACACTCAGCTGAAATACACAGAAAACCCTGAAGGCTTTTGCTTTTGCAAATTTAAATAAAAATAAATACATCATGATGTATATATCCAGAATACTCTCAAAATGTAAGAGTGAATATGCCTTCTATTCATAGCAATAAATCAAGAAAATAGATGAGTTTTGGCTAAAATGAAGACATATAAATCAAAGTACTCTTGTTCTTCTCTCAGTTTTGGTGTCTTCACTCCATTACACAATCTATCTATTAAAGCAAACTGAAAAGAAGAATCCCACATTTCTAGAATTAGAGATTGAACCTCATAGTCCTGACTGCATCTCCACTGATAGAATCAGTACTGTACCCTCTTCCAAATTAAAATATATTTGAAAATCAGGCTCAGAAAACATCTCAGGAAGAGAGTAATAGAGTTTCCTGCTCTCAGTTCAGCAGTTTACTTGTAAAACCTATTCCAATGAATTTGAAGTCTTTTACACTGAAGGCTACATGGTTGATTGTACAGGCATTCTGCCTCTGCACTAGCCACTCTCTGAAGCGAGTACAATACAGGATGATGCAGCATTAGGATAGAGTCTCTGGAAATTATTTAGGGGGCTGGCTAATATCAGAGAAGTATTTAGTATGAACTTTTTCTTCCCTTGATTGTTTTTATCTTCAAAAAACAAAGAGAAACTCCAGCACTGCTTGAGCAGGAAGCTATTCATAGACCATTTTGGCAGTCCTTTATCAACAGCAGCTGAAGTACCAGTACCCTGCTATAAATAAGAAGTTTTGTTTAGTTGAAATATTTTTGTTTAATTGCTATTTGTACTAACATTTTCAGTATCATGATGCATACAGCATAAAGACCTCCAACAATGTCATAGTGCTCAGAAGAGGCTATTAAGGTAATGGAGCATAGGCTGAAAGGCCGAATTCTGGCATATATTAGAGATTTTTCCAAGAGAGAGAAGAGTTAATTATGCTTGATGCTATAGTACTCATATTTACCAGATTTATTTACAGGCTGCATAAAAGGTAGAAGTTTGATGATGGTTTTACCATGAAATGTAAGTGATAGGAAATTATTGAGAAACTGAGGACCTTACAATACCAGAAACCTGGAAAGGACACTAGCAGATTAAATATACCGTATTTGATTCTCTCTTTACAAGTAACAAAATAAATATATAATGTATGAAGGATTTGTTCAGATGCTTTTATTTAAGAACTGTTCCTTTCATTTGCTGCTTGCTTTGTAAAATCTGTTCATAATGCATAAATGTTGTGTTGTCATTAAAACATTGTAAATGTTCTCTGTTCAAAATCTTTAGATCAGATGTTTACTCAGTGTAAAACAGACTAGTTGTAGTTTAAACTATACCAGTTAACAAAAAGATTTGGCTATTTTCTATGTTATCAAGAATATGGACTACCAAAAGAAAGAAAAAAAGATCCTATGGCAAAACATAATGAATCTAATGGATCATTTAAGTCCATTAGGGTGGGTTGAAGAGTCCAGATCACCAATAATATTCAAAATGAAGAGTATTCAGCAGATAATGACAACTTCAATATATTTTAATTGAAAATGTGCATTTCTTATTGTTTTCTTTACTGTTTTCATAATAAGTTTGATAGTTTAAAGAAAATTAAATTAATATCACATTGAAATGGGTTAATCTACTGGTTTTGTAAATTTCCCAAAATAATGGAATTTGCATTACTTTATTCATGCTGAATATTCATGAGAGTACATTTGCTAATAGAGAAGATCCATTTCTGTTTGTATCTTATTTTTACAGACAACAACATTGATAGGTCTTCTGAAGACAGCTAGACTGCTGCGTTTGGTGAGAGTAGCACGGAAATTGGACAGATACTCAGAATATGGTGCTGCAGTTCTGATGCTCCTCATGTGCATATTTGCACTAATTGCACACTGGCTTGCTTGCATTTGGTATGCCATTGGAAACGTAGAAAGACCTTACTTGGCTCACAAGATTGGCTGGTTGGATTCTTTAGGAGAACAACTAGGAAAGCATTACAATAAGAGTGATGCAAGCTCTGGACCATCCATCAAGGACAAGTATGTTACAGCACTTTATTTTACCTTCAGCAGTCTGACAAGTGTAGGATTTGGAAATGTGTCTCCGAACACCAACTCAGAGAAAATCTTTTCCATCTGTGTCATGTTGATTGGCTGTAAGTAATTTTATCTTATTAATATTTTTTTTCTCATTGTTTGAGCAAATGACCTAAACAGTCATTAACAGTCTAAGCTAATAAGATTATAAGCATGCAGCTAGAAGGGCAAAAACCCAGGGAAAACAGTGGTTTATGCTAAAATATGTTGTGACTCATACTCAGGAAGTAGTCAAGTTGCTCAACTACTCAAAATCTGTTATCCAGACTCTCAAAAGTTCTGTGTTGTGTATCAGTATCTGTAAGCAAATCTTGTATAAGGTAGGAAGCTGAGTTTTGAGTGGATTTAGTAAAATACAACTCATCATTTTTTGGATAATCATAACTATATTATATTTGTTGATTTAAACCCTGAACCTACAAATATATGTGTACCTTCTAAACTCTGCCCTTTGTTCTTAACTTGTGATTAACCTTAGTTCCTCATTCTTAGTTCTACCAAAATCCATAAAATTAGATGAACTTAACTTAGGGACCAAATTCAAGACTACAGATCTCCAAAGATAGATATTACCAACTTGCTTACAATTTAATTTTTAAGCCTTATATGCTAACTGAGTTGGTACTGATACAATCAAATCAATAAAAAGCTTCAGGTAAATCAATTCCACATCTTTGAAAATGTTACCAGTCTCATCTGAGCTGTTTTACATACAAAGTACATTATAAGGATTGCTGCATCATCTGTGAAACCAAATTATATGACTTAAGTAAGTTTTGTTTCTATTTAATCCAGCATTAATGTATGCTAGTATTTTTGGAAATGTATCTGCAATAATCCAAAGACTCTACTCGGGAACTGCACGGTATCACATGCAGATGCTGCGAGTAAAGGAGTTTATACGCTTTCATCAAATTCCCAACCCTCTGCGGCAGCGACTTGAGGAATACTTCCAGCATGCATGGACATACACTAATGGCATTGACATGAACATGGTATGCTTTTCTGTTTTGTAGGCACAGTTGCTGAGGAATAGATAAACGCATGAGAATTCAGAAAGACATTGTAAGTCTTCATTATTTATGAGCTTAGGAAGGTGGATATATAGCAATTATTGAAAACCAAGCCATTATAAGGTTGATATCCAAATATTTAACTGCCTAGATTATTACAAACTATATCCGAAATCCGAGCTCTCACTGTGCATAGGAAAGCTTGAGAACTGCAGTTGACTGTTATAAGTTTAAGGGAAAAAAATCATATGTTTCTTATTTCAGATATAGCTGTTCTAGAATTTTGTTTGTTCTTTGGCCTGATTTTCCACTTCCAGTATAAAACAAGAGTACCTGTGTTGGTATCTATACAGTTACTCTTCTATAAAAATCTATGGAGATAAATTCTTTTTCAGAATCCTATCGTGTAATCTAGATCAGTTATACTGGGGATGGGTAGAAGAGAGGAGCAGGCAGGTGTATTAGCTGCTTTTTTCAGAGTAAAATTTTCTAATCATATGAAAGTCTGAGCAGTAGTTTGCTTGCATTCACATCCACATAATTCTGCACTGAAAGCCAACACAGTATTACTAACCATTTAGCAATCCAGAGAATCTTATTTATAGGAAGTGGCAAGGTACAACGCTTATATTTTCTGTTCCTGATAAAACTGTAAAAACTCCTTATAGAAAAATGTATTATGCGGCCAGCAAAAAAAAGAATAACAATCTGCTAATGAGCAAAAGTAAACATCTATATTTCTGGCTTATTTTCTGGAGACAGCAACATTTTTTTCTGAAAAGTTGACATAGGTTTGAAGACACTGAGATCATTGTGCATTTTCAGGATCTGTGAATCTGTGTCTCTAAGGGGATGCTTTCCATAGCTATTCTGAGTTATAGGGACTTTGCAGAGCTCTCAATAAAGTTGGCAAGAGCAAGAAAATCTATATATTTTTGTAACAATTTAATGAGAAATCATCCTCCAAAATTTTAACATAAATTCAAACAGCTTCCATGTGGTATCTATACATACATTTGTGAATGATTGTCAGTGGTACACTTTTATGGAGTAAGCAGAAACAATGGTCTTGATTAAAAGCTTTTATAAAGCTGAATCACTGACAGCTTGACTTTATGGTTACCATTAAGTAAAGCAGATCTAAAGTAAGACAGCAAATTAAATATAATGCGCTCCACTTCCGACTTCCACGAGTGTCCCTTCCAGAGGGATATTATGCCCAACCCAGGACAAGGATACTTGTATAAACCTCTGCCAGGGACTGCTGCAGTAGAAGGCAGCATCAGTAGCTTATCCTGCATGGCACTGAATAGCCCTAATTCTCTCTGATGGCAAAGGGAATGTGGAGTACTCAGCACTTTGCAGGATCAGGCCCTTAAATTGCAGGTGGGTGCAGCCTAAGCCTAAAGTAGCTCATTTAATTATTTCTGAAGATATTACAAAGTCATGTACACCTTAACTGATTCCTTACCACTAATGGATGTACTAAGAACACCTGTTTCACATGAAATAATAACTAAAACTGGATGTTGTCAGGTTAAACTTTGCATAATGCAGGAACTGATGTACTGAAATTAGTCTTGGATTTATCATTAATGTGAAATACTAACTAAATGGATTAAACAGCTCATATTCTGCAATACAATTGTGAGGCAGTATGAAGGCTTTGTTTTAAATAAAATGTGAAAAAAAAATCAAATTTAGTATCTCGTTTTGTTATATTTTATTTCTTATTCTGTTCACAATTCTATCCCTCAAGTTTTATGGCAGTCACTTAGTTTTCTTTAAAAGTGAGTTTGAAAATATTACACTTAGTGCAAGGATAATATAAGAATTGTGTGATTTATGTTGTACTTATGAAAGATTTATCTCTTTCCTGTCTGCTTCATACCTAAATACATGGAATAACACCACCCACTGGTAAGAGCAGGAGGTATTTATATCAAATTCAATTCCAGTATAAAGTGTGGAGAATATCCATGTTATCTGTCGGGTTTGGAGCTTGTTCAATGCTTTCTAATTTTAATTGTAACTTTTTGCATGATGAAGGGGTAGATAGCAAAGGGAAATAATCCAAGTAGAATCAGATGTGGGGCAAAATGGTTACTAAAACTCAGACATTAAGAAATACTAATCTAACCACATTTATTAATCACTATTTTACCCCACAACTCAAACCATGCTTCTCTGCCCAAAAAAGGTCATGTGCATATTGGTTTGCATTAGATAGTTGCTCTGTAGGAATGTCACTGACCAAGTTGCCATGCTGATCATTTTGCATTTTCCTTTGTGTGAATGCTCTTGGTTCAAACCATATATGCATGTTAGCACAAGCATCAATGAAGTTTTCTTGGCTATAAGCCATGTGCATATGAGATGTACTTGCATGTAGTATTAACTTAATTTTGCATGAAATATTTGCATTTACACATCAAAGGGCTGATACTGTCCTCAGACAAATGTGTTTTACTCCTGTCAATATTAACTAGGAGTTTTCTGCAAATATCTGAAGGTAGAATTTGATCCAATGTCTTTCATTTCATGACTGAAAACTGAATAAAATTCAAAAATTCAGTCCTCTTTCTCCTTTGAAATATGAAATGCATGAATAATTTACATTAGATATATATATGCATATACAATGTATACATATATATATATATAAAGTACTAGATAATATGTTTCAAAAGACACTTTAAATTATCATCAGTAATATACTTAAGAATTCAGGAAAAGTGAAAAAAAAGCCCCAACTTTTAACCTCAGGGATAATACTGCACTAAGACTAAATAAACTTGATTTCCTTAAAAAAAAATCCTGCAGTTTATATTGAAATCCAGTGGATAATATTTTATGCTTATTTGAAATAGCTAAATTTAAAATTAGCTTTAAAGATCTGCTGGTGAAATATGCTGAGAACATTGTTTATTTGTTCATTTGTTCCCCTCTGCTTCATTTCTACATCTCTTTGATTATGTTCCATTGCATAATGTATTTTGACAAAAACAGTTCCACATAATTATGCATGGACTGGATAAACAGGATTTGGGATTTATTTTAATCTGGATAAAAATCTTGAGTCTATAGAATAAGCATAATTTAAATCTTATCCCTGTGGTATACACTGACAAAGTTAAATTACAAAAAACTTATTTACTGTGTATATTGTTTCATGAAAGAGGTCACCAGTCCCAAAGATTCAAATATATTATTTTTGATTTTTAAATGATCCTGTTCCATTTTTCCTAAACTCTCTTTGCCTTATTCCCGCCCCCCCCTCCCCCCTTCATTCCAACGTTATCAGTCCAGCACTGATAATAGCATGCCTGTGATGCTTATCCTAAAAAGATGACATATTTAGTGTTTGAGATCTTTTTTTAAGTTATGCATGCATTTTTTACAATCTTCCCCCTTCTTCTTTCCATGGATCTTCTGTGCATCTGAATAGCTGTATTGGTTTATTTTACTTTTAACTTGAGTTCATAGAAGTAAATAAGTGTGACAAGTTTTGGAAAGTGTTTAGCCAAATGTACACTTCAGTTAAAATTTTGCATGTGGGACGATTCCTTCTTATTTTGGGTTTTACCCAGTACTATGACAGGAGAGAGCAAGTCAGAATTTTTCTATATAAATTTATAGAACCTTCTCCTGCAAACAACCACGCAAGTGGGTGATTTTACACCTGTGATAAGTTGTCTTGGCCAGAATGATCATACAAGTACAGGAGAGCACACACCTGTCTTGAAGGTTCAGAACCAGCAATGCTACTATATCAAACAAAGGTCAGGTTCATCATTGCTTTGGTAAGGGTTCTTTTGTGAGAAATTGGCCACTGGTCACTGGATAACATAACTACATTTGTAATCCTTGCTTTTCCTCTCACTATGGACACTTCTCATGACCAAAACAATTCTACCAATAGAACTATTGACCATAATATTCTTTGAATGAGAAAATTAGAAAAGTAAATTAAAATTTCACAAGTAGCAAGGAGAATTTCCTTATACCATCAGAAGGGTAATCCGAATTAGAAGTGTTTGAAACAAAAACTGGTAGTAAGTGGTTAAACAGAGATAATATGTAATCATAGTGGAAAGTGTTTATATGTCATAATGGAAGTCATAAGACGTTTAACCCTATCAGAAAGTATCTCAGATATGATTAGCTGTAAATCTGTTCTTTCATTTTCTGTAACCAGACCACCTCATAGGAAAAAAAAAAAAATACTTTTAAGAATGTCAATCTATTTGCAAGGTGATCCTTCTCACTGCATTGTATTTTGTGGTCTAATGTTTCAAAAACAAGAGCAATTAACAATTTTACAACTATCATTATATTTTTGAAAGACATGGATCTGGTCAGGTTCCATCCTCTACAGACATTAAACTTTTCTGTTGATGAGGAAGTCAACAGTCTAAGAAACAAAAATCGTATTCTGTCCTTCTCACTCAGCAATGCAACATATATGAGATCACTTTTCAAAGGTACTCAGAAACAGTAATAAGATTATAGATGAAGAATGATCCACTGCAGCTCCAGTAATTTCAACATAAAAATGTAACACAAATCTGTGTCATGGCAATGACTGAAAGTAAAAGATCTTAATTCTTAATAAGGGTTTCAGAATTCAAATCTCATTGAAAGGTGGATTAGCTCATCATCACACACTGCTACTCTTTCCTTTCTCCTGTTGCAAGGACCTCCTTCATATCCTGCCAAAAAAACACCAAACAAAAAAATCTGACTCTGCAAAAATTTCCTGTATGGAAACGAGAAATCATCAGGAATAATTCTTATTCCATTTGGAGCCCAAGAGCTGCTGGAGCAGAATTATCACCACCTGTGACTTTGTTCATTCTTTTCTAAATGGTGAAAGCCCTTGGAAATGTTTTGGCCTTCTGCTTATAGAAGTAGTTCATTTATGTAATTAACTATCACAGGTATAGTAAAGTCTAAATTGTTTCCAGAAGTAGAACTAGGCT